TCTCTCTCTCTCTCTCTCTCTCTCTCTCTCTCTCTCTCTCTCTCTCTCTCTCTCTCTCTCTCTCTCTCTCTCTCTCTCTCTCTCTCCCTCTCTCTCTCTCTCTCAGGGTCCATACAGATAAGCCAAGACAAAATTCAAGGAGTTTTTCAGGACATTTCAAGGACAATTTGTATTTTTCAAATATTAAAATTCTAGCTTAACTTAATAAAATTCAGTGTTTTCAGACTTAGCACAGCTTGAAAAGATACATTACATGGAATAGAGGACATGAAAACTTCTGATTCAGAAAAAAAACAGAGATTAACGGTGAAAGGTATTCATTATGATGAGGTTAAGGAGATTAAAAACATGTGCATTTTATAAACTTTAACTGCTGTTTTTGATTTGCTTTCAATGCAATTTTTTATTTTTATAAATTCCAATAGTTTTGAGTACTTTTCCAGGGCAATAACAACCTTTCCAGGACAATTCCAGTATAAAACAAAATATTTTAAAATTCAAGGAGTTTACAAGGAGTCATATCAGATTCCAGGACATTTCCATGCCCGTGCGGACCCTGTCTCTCTCTCTCTCTCTCTCTCTCTCTCGCTCCCTCTCTCCTGCTTCCCTCCCTGCTTTCTCACTTACCATCTCTTCCTCTCTCTCTTATCCTCCATTTTTCAGCTGTCGCAACCACAGACATGCACACATGTACACACACATGCGCGCATACACACACGCGCGCACACACACACACGCACGCACGCACGCACGCACGCACGCACGCACACACACACACAAACAAACGAACATGCTATCAAGCATCATTTCACAAAATTTTATATTCTAACTGATTCATTTACGCATGATTAGTGTCTGTCAGCAGACCCAACTACAGCACCTTATCTTCTGTGATGTGCAATCCCCTTGGCTCTGTCCTGTCGATTTTTAGCACATGGAATTGTGTCTCTGTGTTGTTAGACCCAACTACGTAAAACCTCTGCAACATTGTTTTAAATTCGTTCAGCTCATCAGTATAGCTTAGAAGTGGTAATATGTGCTAACTATTGTTAGATTCTAAATATAGTTAATAAAATATTAGCAACTGATAAAAAAAACTCCACCATTTGTCCCAGTCACTATAGAGTTATCTCACTACGTTACTAGGGCTGCCAGGGTCTATTTCTCCCTGGGTACTGCCGGAACGTACCCTGGTACTATCTAACATGCCGGACCATACCTCGCCTACTCCACTAACGAGTCTAGGGAGTTGCCTACGCCTACTCCCTAACCCTAACCATATCAGATAGTTACCTCAGGTACATATATGTCACCTACGCCTACGCCTACTCCCTAACCCTAACCATATCAGATAGTTACCAGGGTACATTCCGGCAGTACCCAGGGAGACATAGACCCTATCAGCGTTACTAGGTTAAGATTACTACTTAAGTTAGTGCTTAGATATAGCAACACCTGCTGCCACCCTGAAAAAGTTGCGCATTTCCCCAATATATTTTTCACGTTACAGACCGAGGTCTAGTCACAAAGGTGCAATTATATTTATACCCAAATGCTATTTAACCGAACGATGTTCATTTTAGAACAAATTCATCCATAATATAACGGAAACTATATGTCGTTTATAAGATATTACAATCCTTTTGCCTTTAAATTAATAAATAAGAAACACCCTCGGTCTGTAGCCCTTGGCTGAAAAGTTGTTTTGCGCAACTTTTCAGATTGTGCGCTTTGAGTGGCGCCACCGTCGTTGTAATCAAACTGTAGTCGGTAGTTTTAAAACATTTTTTTTTAATATTTCTAATGATGATTGAACCATGAAACTTTTTATGTAGCATAATTTTAACCTAAATTAACTGAAAATAACCCTAGAACTTAGAGTAAAGAATCCCTTTAATTACTCACATGCAAAACACAAATACTGAACAATGCTGACAAGCAGTTTTTTACTTTGTTAGGTAAACACGATGAACGCTTTCGAAGGATCTATCTTAAAACATGTGAGCTAGGACAATTATTAATTACTTGGCACTACCACCATGCGTTGTTAGATCTATGCACGGTGCAAACTGCAGTAACCTAGCACAATCTGTTCTAGTATATTGATTTCAGATCACTGGTATAGTTTTCCTGCTATATATGTGTGTTTGCAATTTGACATACTGGTATTAAAGACAAATTCGTGCATTTGAAAAAATATTAGGTTGTATCCCATTATTAACATTATAGACTCAATTTAAAAGTTACGTAAAAAATGGAAATATGGTATAAAAATTAAAACTGGGTTGAGAACACTGCAATTCACACCGTAGCTACCACACAGCATGCAACTTACCGATGGAACACTTACAGCTCTAGTTTCATAGAGAACCATCTTTTGTATGGTGTTGATAATGGGATAAATCTTAACCGCCACTGGTGCAGCCATAGTTGAACTAGCTCGTTCTTTGTACATTCAATCATGGAGAGGATGTCCTCGTAACGACGCAAGGCAATCGTAGTTGCAAATTTGTGAAATATACAACTTACCAACCCGGAACTGATCTACCTGAAATAAATGCAACTATATCATGAGACTTTCCTCATTTCATTGCACTGCCACTGGCACTGGCACTGGCGCTAAAGATTTTGTATATTATTACGTTTTATGCATTAGCCTACTACCTACTACTAGCTAGGGCGCAAATCCACTTTAGGCACCTTAGGTATCACGAAGTGATGCACAGATGTCTGTGTATCATCAACTGATGCACAGACTTTCCGTATATCCAGAGAGACCGGATACAAGATGGCGTTGCGCAAAAGATGCGTTGTTCCCCGACCGCCGAAAGCGGTTAAGCCGCGCACTTCCGCGGGACTGGGCGCACGCGACCGCGGGGTGTTGTATGTAGCATCTCGCTCCCGCTATACGAATTCGCGCGCCGAAGGAAGGCGGGCGCGCGAATGCGTATAGCGGGCAGCCTATAACATCGCGCAGTTTTCGGGACACGTACATCGGCTCGGCTACA